TCGTCGTCGGGTCTCGTTCGATCACCAATAGCATTTTTCTCGGTGACCTCGTCACACGCAATCGTTTAATAAAATTATGATGATTACATTTACTTACAGTCACTGGCAGGGCAAGAACGGCAGGGGTTGTTTCAGTAGTCCCGCCTCCAGCGCAAGCTTCTTACCTTCGACAACGCTTCGAAGTCTCGTGAGCCTCGGGCGTGCACGCACAGCCAAAGCACGAGAGAAGTCAGCGAGCGCGTTCTGTAGGCCGGGCATTCGAAAGAGACGCCATTCCGTTCTCATCCTGCCAGTGACTATAAACTATTCTTTCACCGCCATTTTGTGGCGTTCGTGCATGTGACGCGTGATTTACGTATTTGTTTCGTGAAGCGACAAACACGCGCGTGCTCGGTTGCCTAGACAGCGAGCTCGGATGTGTAAATGTAAACGTAAGGTTAGTTACCTAACGCGTTACCTTTCTCGTTACTTCGGCAACCAAATACAGAACTGTTTTTTTTTTATATAGTTTATTGTTTTCATTTCAGTAGTCATTGCACTTGAGCAGAAGCTGCATCTCGAAGTTTCCATAGGTTATGTTTCCCCGCTTCCTCGAAAATACATCTCTTCCGACCCTGAAGAAACGTACTGACGCGCTCGAAGGAACAGCATTGTTGTGCTTCAGGAAGAGCTGATGCCCGTTGAGGCAGACCAAGTTCTAGGCTGTATACACACAACCCAAATTTTTTTTTTTTTTTTTGAAGAGCTGTTGATTTTGGGATTTCCCTCTCCCACTCTCTCTCTCTCCCTGTCTCTTGTTCTCTCTGCTTCAAAAGTTCGAAGTTGCACAATAGGTTTTGTGCGTTCCCGTGTTGGCAATGTGCGGGTTTACATCGGGTCTGCCCTTCGATCTGCGTCTGTCGCAGTAAAGAGACGAGTACTCGGGTGTCAATTAGAAGGAGGCTGTTTAAACAGTGTTGTACACGCTACTCCTCAAAAGTAACAAAATACCGTTACTCATTACCTGGCCGTAAAAGTAACCAAGTACGTAAGTCGTTCTTTGTCTAGAAAGGTAACTAGATAAGTTACTCGTTACAAAAAAAAAGTAACTGGGTAGAAGTAACTCGTTACTAGTAACGCGTTACATACATATGTGGTTAGTGTATACTTTGGTTGGAGCAAGACTAACTAAAAGTGAGGACGTACAGCCAAGCCATAAGAAGGGACCCGCCGTTTCGCGGCCTGCTCATCCTCTTCTTCAAGAAGGGGTGACAGTGGCAATGGCCGTTGAGAAGCAGTATTTTCGTTGTTGTTGTTTCCTTCGTCTATGATGGTGCATTTATCTTTTCGTTGGTGTAAAGTCCCTCAATTAACGCTTTGCTAAGTAGTGACAGCAAGTGATTCGCCGACGCGCTCTCCTATTGGTCCGTGCCCGCGCTCCGTTGCCGACAACGAGGAACATGAGGGATTTGACGCGACCTCACTCTCCTGGTACCTCGACGTTCGGAAACCTATCCGCGTCCGCTTTGTTCTATTTGGGTTGTCACGCGATATGACCTGCCTGAGTAACACGGAAGATTTTGAACACAGCCATGGTGGGCGAGTTACGAAGAACTTGGCGGACCGCGCGCTAGCAGACGAAAGGAGCGAGGGAGGAGGGCGGGGGAGGAGCGTTTGTCACTACCTTGCATAGCGTTATCTAGAGACGTTAGGTGGCGGATATCGTGAAGCCTGTTAATTTAGTCGCGGATGGTAAAGTGTGCAGGACCTTTAATCGTCCGATTCCTCATTAAGGCTTAAATGCACGCCCCCCCCCCCCCCCCCCCCCCGGGCCCGAATCTCTTTTTTTTTTTTATTGCACCTAACTTTTAAAATGCCACAGGGATCTGTCACGGCCAGCAGTGCTTTCACATTGCTACAATCCCGCACTATGCCACCATACCCACACTACAGCGCGAGCACTGGGCTTGCTTGCTCTTCTCCCTTGTGTGCGCTCGCGCAAATAGCTCTGACACTGTTGTGGAAGCCACGCTAGACCAGTTTATTGCCCCATATTTGTGACTTGTAGCAAACCGTTACCATGTTCCGCGTACCGCACAACCGGAGTCTTTGAAGCATGCTTTTAAGCGCGCGCCCCAGCGGTCACGGAATCACCCGGGCGTGCGCTTAAAAGCATGCTTCAAAGGCTCCGGTAGTGCGGTACGCGGAACACGGCAGCGGTTTGCTAAAAATCGGGCCGGCTCACACAACACCGCTTCCTTACGTTGCGTTATAGACGCTTTTCACACGCGCCAAATCACAGCCGTCATTGCTGACCTTCTCTTGTCTTACCGAGATGCCGAGCAACTGAAACGGTAGTTGACGATCCTCTACAAAGGCCGATGCTTTAGAAAAGGACACAGTTGAATCTAATGTGGCAAGAACCTGGCCTGCTATGGTAATGATGAAGAGAAATAAACGATATAAGAGAAAACTAAAACTGAAGGTCAGTTATGGTGGTGTCCATGCACAGCTGCTGCAAAGCATCTATATGACGGAAGCATACACTGGCCACGTTGAGAGCCACCGGGATATATCTTCTTGGTATGAAGCCTGGCAACAAATTCAAGGAAGGGTCTTGCACGCGAAATTGGAGGCAGGGATGTTCTGGTGACTTATAACGTAACGTAGGAAAACGTAAGCAAACGTTTCTGTGTGAATGGGCTTGAAGCCTGGCTCTTAAAAAACCGTTTTTTTTACAATGAACAAGTCACCGAAACATCCGTGTCTCGAATGTCACGTGTTAAGGCTGGTTCACACAGACCCGTTTTCTTACGTTAGTGTACGAAAAGTCACTGGGAAATCTGTGCTTCCATTTGCTGTATTATCCAAGCATCAAGGCGAATGCAGGGATTGGTGTTCCACGCGCCACACGCGCACGCCTTTCATGTATAAAATATTCGAAGTAAATAACCAAAATAAAGCGTTGACGAACGCTCGTGCAAGATGCCATTTGTTTTAGGTATTTGCTTTAGAAAAATTACTACTGCTGAGGCCAGGAGGTGCGGCGTGTGGAACACCACTCCCTGCATTGTCCTTGATGCTTGGGTAATATAGCAATAGGTATATTCAAGGACAGCCTTGCATGCGACATTCTAAACACGAATGGTTCGGTGACGACGAGCTTTATTTTGTCTCACCTTAGTATAAACTAGCTGCGAAAGCTGTGCGAGCGCGAGCGGGTATCCTTGACTGCCTTGAGTGGAACACTCGCTGCACGAGTGCTCGTGCAGCCGCCGAGGCTTCATTCAAAGCACGCTTTTAGCATGCGCGGCTAACAATAGTTCATGCTAAGGTGAGACGAAGTATAGAACGGTGAGTTACCCCGGCAACCAAGGACACAAGGCTCGTCGTAACGTAACGTAAGGAGTTGAGCCAACACCTCCTAGACAGCTTTCAAGCCTGCGCGTCACGTGACATGACGCCACGTCCGATAGGCCTGTACGGGCGGAGATTGGATGCGAGTGCCGCGTCTACGTTCGCGTGGAGCTCGTTTTCCATCATAGTGTCACGCGAACCCTGACGCGGCACTCGCATCCAGTCAGCACCCATGCCGGCCTCCCGGACGTGTCGTCATGTCACGTGGCGCGCAGGCTTGAAAGCTGTCTTAGAAGTGTTTGTCGAGCTCGGTTCAACTTTTCACACAGCACCGTTTTCTTCCGTTATGCCCAAGTCACCGAAACATTTGTGTCTCGAATGTTTCGTAACGTAACGTACCGTAGAAAACGGGTCTGTGTGAACCAACCCTTACTCTCTCGGAGTGTAAAGCAAAGAAGCTCTACCAGCGCTTCTATCGTGTTCTTCCCCACTGCTTCCAGTAGACGCACACGCCTGTGGACCTTACCCATCTAACTTTAGAAGAAAAAAAAATGGGTTGTGTGTATGTTTATACAGCCTAGAACTTGGTCTGCCTAGGGGGCCTTCATGTGCGCTTTGCTTTGGGTGGAGACATCTCGCCATTTTGTCCCACACTTTTATTTTTATTTTTTGTTCAGAAGCGCGTGAAAGAGCGTGTCTCTGCACGCGTTTCTGGCGCTGACTGTGCAATGGCGACATTTTGTTTTCGTCGATTTCTTTGTATTTTACCCGTGAGCGCGTGCTGTCGGCACCGGGTACTACAAAGGATGGCATCACCCTAAACAGAAGGACATTGAGGCACCCTAGGTCTGCCTCCAAGGGCGACGAGTCTCCCAGCTGTAGATGAGCAATTTAGCCAGTGCGGCACAACCGCTAGCCTGGGGTCTTTAACGTGCATCACGCAGTAGTGATACACGACCGCACGCCGGTACGATGCTCATCCAGATCGAAACGGGCAGGGGCGGGGATTGAACCCAGTATCCTGGGTTCTGCAGCGCGAGCTTTCACTTCACGTGCTCCGAGCTGGTGTGCGCTAGACCACTCGGCCACCGATCCCCCCAAAAAAAAGCCGACGTTCTGACACCGGGAATCGAAACCGGGCCTAGTGGGTGAGAGCCAGGTATCCTAACCACTAGACCATGCCGGAGGACCATCTAACTTTTATTGCGCTCGAAGAGGGTTTCAGTTGCTGTGATCATCGATTTATGGAATATTACACTCGCTTCACAATGTGGCGATACATTCGATTGCAGTATTAGTGCTTTTCTTCTTCCTTAAATGCCTTCAACTATAAACCAACAAATTACACCATTTTGTTTTAAATTTCGGTTTCTTTAGATCCTTTTGATTCCACACGTAATGGACTAACATTTAGACCCATTTCAAAAGCTGTCAATCAATATTTGATCAAATCCCGACACCATGAAGCATCAGCCTGTCTCACAATATTTGACTAATTCAACATTAAAGATACGGAATATAAGTTAAAGTTCTAGAATCTAAAATAAAAAAGAACAAAGAAAACACCTTAATTGCTCAAAGGAATGGGCAGCAGAAGTCTCTGCCAAAGCCTCTTGCTGGGGCTTGTACCATTTGCCCATGCTAAGATATGAAGGGTTTCGATTTTATGTCAAAATTGGGCAAGAAGTAGCGTTAGGGCAGTTGAACGTATTTCTGAAGTCCGGCGATTGACCGAGCACCGTGTTGCACCTGTGGAGATTGGCGATGTGCGGATTACTTGGTCTCGTGTCCGCTGCTCGGACCCGCGACGTGCACCACAAAAAGCAGCGCGCCACGTAAAACAGCTGCTTGTTGGTCAGCCCCGCGATGGGAGAATTCGCATCGAGTCCGACGCAAGCGTCAGTCGCCAGAGCTGCTTGCACCATCTCCAGCCCCGAGATGTCGGCGAAATTCTCGGTGCGCGTGGCCATGCTGTAATTGCGAGTTCCTGAGCGCACCCCGAGCGCGTCGTAAAGTCTCACGATACAGTCCAGTCTTTTCTGGTAACCTTCCCATCGGGGGACGCGTGGCGAACGTGACGGCATCAAGTTCGAGCTTTGACCAGCCGCAATCGGATCGAAGGAGTGGCCTATCTCATGGGCCACGACGGAACCTGCCAGTCCGTAGCTGGCAGCGAGGGACTCGTCCACGACTGTGAAGGGGGACATCATTACCGATGGAATGTAGATTGAGTGGACGTTCCGGTAGTAGTGGGCGTTGGGAACCTGGCTGGGGTACAGGATGTGCGATAGCTCCTGGAACATCACTTGGGGGACCTTGGTGTAAGCGTAGTTGAAGAACTCAGTTTCCGCTTTACCCTGAAAGGCCCTCAAGAGGTTCTCGACAAAAGGTTTTCGGAAAATTGGTAGGAAGCGGTACTCCTCATTCATGACCGCGTGCGAGTAGAACCTCCGGGGCACGCCGAAGACAGCTGTGAGGTTCTTGATGCTCTTTAGGGTTCGGTTTTTTTGGTCGCTTTTGGTCCAGTTCAAAAACTTTGGAAATACTTGTTTCATAGATCGAAACATGTGTTTTGTTGTTTCCACATGGTCTGTGCTTACTATGTATTCTGTCAGCAGTGCGTTTAGGGCGTGAGGTGCCAGGTACTCCATGTAGTTGAGGCACTTGGGAATGAATATGCGAAAAGTAGTTTGCAAGGGGTAAGAGCTTGCAGAAGCAAAGTAATAGTGGACCAAGACCGTCATCCACCGAGCAAAAGGTACTGGGTTGTCGCGGTACTCTTTCATGAACTGGTCCACTACCCATATGAGTTTCGGTTCGATCAAGCAAAATTTAGTCTGCGCGTTGATGGGTGCCGGAAGATTATCGTTGATGACACCGAGCCATTCTCCTCTGGTGATGTGTCTCGTAGACGAAGCTATGGTCGCTAACGTGCGGTAACCCTGATTTTTGTGCTTAGGTGGGACGTTCGCGAGCGCCGTTTGAAAGAATGTGTGCACGTTTTTCACTTGTCTCGCGATGGTCGAGTCTGAGTCGTTTATGTGAAGAGCGGTCAGGATTTTGTCCTCTTCTTTTATGTCCTGAAAATAATCAAAATCTTAATACGCGGAAACTTGGCTTCGCTCGAGCAAAGCAACAGTTATTCAATAAACAAGAAATAACAAATTGTCCGCTCTATTTTAAAAAAAGTGATATTTTTAAGGTCGTATTTACACCATGATGTGCACCATATTGAGATAAATATTTGAAACGTTTTAAATTTGGTTTTATTATTATTTATATTACGCCAGTTTTGGTCAAAGGGCAACTCTAGTTAAGAGTCGGACGAATGTAAATGTCTGATATCAATTTACGGAGACGAAATACGAGCACGTCCAAAATATTGCACTAATCGGAATCTGCGATCCACTCTAGAAACCTATATTAAAAAACACTTCCACTGCGGGCATTCAGCGGGCATTCAGCGGGTTGGCTCTTTGTCAAGCAACCTTGTGCTCTTATGTAACTTTCGTTTTCAAGGTGGTCCTTTGTTCGTACTGCCACTTCTTTCGCCGTGTTTTTCTTTAGCTTTTTCAGCGTCGCACCGGATGATTTTTGCTTATGTTTTAGCGGCCGTTGTTTGTAGGGGCTCTACGGTCTTCGGGGGGCGCACGAAGATTTTTTTAAATTCCTGCTCACCCAAGCGCGTCTTGGTGCCAAAGATTGTATTTACTGGCGATCACTAGTACATTCCTGTTCAACACGAATTTACGATTAACTTCCACAACGCTTCGGCAACGTGCATAGCACTCCACCCAAATTGTAGTTAGTCTCAGAAATTTGGCTGGGTCTGAGAGAGCATTCATTGCGGCAAACATGCTTTTCGGCCTGCAACCTTATGAGTGTGTATTAATATTTCCGTAATATGCTTGATGTCTTCAAAGCAAAGCTGTAAAACAGCTGTAGCATCTTACTTGACTGATCGGAACTGCTCTTGCGACTAGGCCAGTTGTACGTTGTGCGGTACCGCACTACAAACTTTGCGTCGCACCATGGCCATGCAGCTCATCACAAGGGCTGCCGCCATGTTTGAGCCGGTAGTTTCGGTTTTTCCGTAGATCGCCGAAACAAAACTTTGAGATGGGGGTATCTACGAAACTACACAAGTCGTTAGAAAAAACCAAAAAGGGGGTTACTTTGTAATTCAGGCCCACTTTCTTTACTAAAAACCGTCGTAATCATAAAATAGACGAAATGTACCGCTATCTACTGATGAAAATGCAGATGGACGCAAAGGGACTGAAAGGGCAGAAACACCTGCAGTACCGTCGCAAGCCCATCGAGCAGCTTGTCGGGGACCTCCGAGTGCGACCTAAGAAAAGAGGTCCAGCATCCCAATCCGACTGTGAAGAGCGGCTAGATGGAAGGCAGCACTTTGTCTACAAGCTGCCAGAACGCAGCAGCAAGGACTGCGCAGTGTGCAGTGACCGGAAAACTAAAGGGGGCTGGAGAGAGACAGTTTTCTTCTGCAACACCTGCAGCAAGCATCCCGGCCTCCACCCTGGAGAATGCTTCGAGAAGTACCATACACTGACGAAGTTCCGCTAGAAAACGCGAGAAAGCAGGAGCTCTGCAAAAATAAATATTTCATGTTACCTTTGTACGCCGAAATAATTTTATGTTTCCGTGGCCCGTGCATCCAAAATAGTTTCTGACCGGAACGACCATTAAGTTGGTCAGAGTATCTGACCGCAAAGGGTTAAAGCGGTACGGAAAGAAAATGTAACCACGAGCTCTCTACCTCCGGCTTCAGAGTCGTTCAGCGAGAAGCGAAATGCGTCTCGCGCTTCTTGACGTCAAGAGTTCCTACACGGCGAAGGGTACTGTAGTTGCGAGCGTTGCCGCTTGATGACGTCAACGCGTGTCAATCTCGCCTAGAAGTAATATCCGAGTAGGTCTGAGAAATAACTAGTCCCCTGCCAGCTCCCGCGTGAGCACTGCGGGATCCGAGGAGTACTGTACTCCCTCTGGCCTGTGCAGAGTTTTGCCGCAACGTCGTTCGCGGCCACGACGGTATTTTATGTGCTACGAGCGTTCGGTTTGCAGTGATTGTTTCACACCGCAGTAGTAGTAGCCCGAGGGAAACAATGAGTAGACATAACCTCCATCAGCCAGCATTGGCGACACATGCAAGCTATGTGTATAAGGTATTCGCTGTGTGCCATATTTGAGGGCGTTATTCACAGCGCAACCTTAGGGGAAAGGGGGGAGGGGAGGAGAGGGGGGAGGGCGGTGTGGTTAGCCTGGCAGAGGTACCCGCATCCTCAGAACCAAGCTCCTACCTATATTCTACGAAAAAATGTCGATCTCGATGGTGTGGAATGCATGTTGCGGAAGCACAGTGGAAGCTTTAGCATATACAACGTAGTCAACGCGTTAGCGTTCTCTGTCAAGTCACATTCAGGACTAAGGAGCTCCTTGAACGAGTCATACTGCCGCGAACTGGCGCGGCGTCTTAGAAATTCATGACACCGCGGCATTCCATCGAAGCTTCTCAGGCTGCCACCAGGCGCAATATTGAAATCTGTTACCGCTCATTCACACTGGAAGCGGATCCGCGTTCGCAAAGCGGTTGCAAACGCGGTTGTATAAATATTCAGTACAATTGCACGCGCACTTGATGTCATCGAGTGCGCGTGCAATTGCACTGGATCTTTTTTCAACCGCGTTCGCAACCGCCTTGCCAACCCGGATCCACTTCCACTGTGACTGAGCAGTTACCCCCCATTCACACTGGAAGCGGATCCGCGTTCTCGAAGCGGTTGCGAACGCGGTTGTATAAAGATCCAGTGCAATTGCACGCGCATTTGATGTCATCAAATGCGCGTGCAATTGTACTGGATCCTTATACAACCGCGTTCGCAACCGCCTTGCCAACCCGGATCCACTTCCAGTGTGACTGAGCAGTTACCCCCCATTCACACTGGAAGCGGATCCGCGTTCTCGAAGCGGTTGCGAACGCGGTTGTATAAAGATCCAGTGCAATTGCACGCGCATTTGATGTCATCAAATGCGCGTGCAATTGTACTGAATCCTTATACAACCGCGTTCGCAACCGCTTTGCGAACGCGGATCCGCCTCCAGTGTGAATGAGCCCTTAGGGCGTTTTAAAATTAGTTTTCTTGACTTTTCTGTTGTAGCCCAGAAACACTAGTCTAGACTAGTGTTTCTGGGCTGCCGGCGCAACATAAGTCACATATAAATAAACTTATAGGGAGTATTCACTTGACACCATATTTGTGGGTGCTCTTTAGAGCGCAAGCTCAGACCGAGCTTTCATTAATAGGCTGCTAAGAACAGCAATCTTGATGGTGCGAAATTCACGTTAGAGAAAACTGTGAAAGCTCGGCGTCAGCACGCGCTCGGCAGTCGCGCACACGGATATGGCCGCCAGTGAATATTCCCTATAGGAAATATTCACTGGACGCCATATTTGTGGGTGCTGTTTAGAGCGCATGCTCAGAACGAGCTCACATTAATAGCTTGCTGAGACCGGCAACCTTGATGGTGCTAAATGCACGTTCCAAAAGGACTGCGGAAGCTCGGCTTCAGCACGCGCTCGGCAGTCGCGCACACGGATATGGCAGCCAGTGAATACTCCCTATAAGTGCCAATATTTCGTTTCCGTGCCCTTTAAATCTTTTCGACGCGTTTAGATGGTGTTCACTGGGCGCCATACATGAGCGCAGCGTTCGCAGCGCATGCTCAGAACGATATCACACATCTTCCGAAAAACCTACATTTTTGGTGGTGTGACGTGCACGTTGTGGAATCACTGTGGAAGCTCATCCTAAGCGCGTGCACAGCAGCAACGGATCTAACTTTGGCCGCCAGTGAACACTACAAATACGGAAGAAGAGTGGGACAGCGTTGTTTTGTGAGCTATTATAAAATGAGTATTTTCGAGTTCTAAAAACGCCAAAAGACAAATCGAATGGGTAGCTTAAATCTGATCGCTTGATTGAACTTAGAGAAAACTCTCTCTCTCTCTATTTCTGTGTCTCTTGGTTCTTGCTAAATTAGATTTCAAAGCAATGTTTTTTTTTTTCTCTACTCACCTGAAGCAAGCCATTCCTAAGCTCGACGTCTTCCATGAAAGTCAAAATGAGGCGGTCATTAGTGCGCAGGTCGATTAGGGGTCTCAACATGAATACGGCCGGAATGCCCAGTTTGAGATTGAGCTTCATCATCAGCTGCAGGGGGTTCAGCGTCGTCTCGATTGCAAAGGGAGGCAGCAGCACTCCGCTATCATTGAGAAAGCTAGTGACGGCTTCGACGTTGTCCACTTGTCTCGTCCACACATCGAAGCACGTCTGAATTGCCGCGATCACGCGATCTGTCACCGATAGTTGTAGGGGACTCACGGCTTGCTTATTCAGTCTTTGGTACCCGACGTTTAAGACGGTTTCGCCGATAAGGTCGAACGTCGTCTTGCTTCCGAAAATTTTCTCCCAGTTGCCGCAGGCGTAGCTGAAGAAATCTAGGCAGGGATTGGCCGAAGTGTCCATAACCTGCTCCATTATCTCCAGGGTGCGGGTCGATCCGACGCCTTGGTGTTTGGCAGCAACGTTTCTTTTGGTGAGGGGGTACATTCTCAAGAGCGCTGTCAGGAAGCACAGCACAGCGAAACCCAGAAATAGAATTGAAGCCCAGCGTTGTGAGCGCTCTTTCATTGTGGTCGGGGTTACCAACTGTGAAGAGAGGAAAGATATGCTTACTTTACCTATTTGATTTTGATAGGAGTTTGATTCTGACAAGCAGATCCAACACTGTAAATCGAGCCGGAAATATCGGCGCCGTACAGCATAGGAAACTCAAACCTTCACGGCGTCAGCACTGATCAGGTCAGTTTTGCTGTGGGAAATTTCAAGGCGTAGTTCTCTTTCAGTAGGACATGATTGCAAAACAAACTTGCTAAAGTCAACGTCGGCGCGTTGGCAGACGACCAAGTGGGCGTCGCTATTAAGTTGTGGCATCATCTTCCGAGAGGCTCAGGGAACGGGCAACAGGGTGCGCCGTCTGCTCTTTGCGGCTCCGCAAGTTAATGTGGAGCGTAAGTTCGTCTGCTTCCCGCTCAGGGGCTGCAGTGACATCCAAACGTCGAGCTCTGATTGACTCCAATTAGAAGGATTGCGGGTAAACCTCAAGGCAGCCAGCATTGAAGCTAATCTACCCGCTATTTTTTAATTGG